TTAAAACTGTAAATGTTTAAAATCAAGTAAATAGAGTGGGACGATGTCCAAGTATTCGACCAAAACAACTAAAATAAAGTTGCTTGAAATTTGACATCGATAGACTCCATGGTATCGAGGTCCGATTGTGGAAACATTGATATCTACGTATTCATATCGCAGCGCGGAAGGTTTATATCTAGGTTAGAACATAAAAAGGGTTGCCACCTGCTCAAAAATCAAATGCAATTAAGTTAAATCAATACTACACTAAAGTAACAATCGAGATGTTTTTGAAAAGGCTTTATTTCTGTGGGAGGGTTAACATCTGTTTAAAAATTAAATTCAACTTTAATTCAAGGGAATTAGGTAACTGAAATATGTATAACAATATTGGTGTCAGACTTTCAAAGTTTAATAAAATTATAGTTTGAAACTATTTTCAACAGGGCTGCCCCTTGATTAAAAATTAAATTCAATGTATATGATAGGTTTAATTAATTTTAACAATATGGATATGGAACATGAGATGGTTTGCCACCTGTCAAAAAATCAATTAATTTCAATGAATTACTCACACACTCTGCGTCCGTTTACGTCTGGACATTATTTGGTTGTCGCCCTAAGCCAAAATCTTGAAATTTTTCTCTGTTATTTAAACGAACCTTAATAAGAAAAAATAAACAGTTGATCGTTTTTTTTTGTTAATTTTTTATTTAGTGCTTATAAAAGTTTCGAAGTCTTCTCGATAGAGTAAATTTTTTTCTCGATGCTTACTTTGTTTTTCAACCTGCATCAAATTTGTCCACTTCCACAGTAATCTTCTTTGAAAACTATTTCTAAATGAAGCATATAAAATCTTTTGTATATCGTTTGGCATACAATCCTTATAATAAGATGTTTTTGTTCTCTTATCGAAATAATATAATCTTTGTGTTGAGTTAGATACACTTGAGAAAAAGTTGTGACAGATCTCGCATAATAATAAAATACCACCTGGAACAAAAAATTTGTTTTCGGGAAACAAAGACAGCCCAAGGCGTGTTGAGTTATCTTTCAGCACATGCGAATTCATATCGTTAAAAAAAGAAGTTAAATCTCGCAACTTATATAAACATTTACTTCGAATGTGACCCGAATTTCCTTCTTTGTATGGTTTATTAACACTAAGAGCATACTTTTGACATAATCGAAGACGTTCAGAAAGTTTTAAACGCCTTACGTCTGTTCCACCTAGTATGATAGCATCTATTATATGTAGAGCACAGATGCGCGTTTGTGTTCTACCCTCACCAGTATATTCGTACACAATTTCTCCATAAAAAATAGATCTAGGAGATACTTCAAAAATGTACTCCACAGGTTCCCATTTCTTACTATCAGTATATCGAAGTAAACAGCCTTTAGACTTACATAAAAACATACTGCAAGTATTAATATTAGTTTCACCTCTACCAATTGGAACAAAATACCAGTCGTAAATGCTGTTTATACTGTTTTGCAGGTATTCGACACCATACAGTTCAGTGGGCAAAGAATTAAATAGAAGTTTATCGTTCCAATCTCCTAGAATCTCCTCAAGGAGCTTTTCGGAAGACTTGGACTCTGGTGCTTGTCTAAGTTTATCTGGAAGACCCCACAACTCAAGACATCGCTTACGGATTTCTGATTGCTTTGTTTCCCTCAGTTGTGTGTTTCTACAATATACCGCTATCTTTTTCAGACCTATAATTTGGTTTTTTCCAATTTCATTATTACTACTGACAATTAAATTTAGAAAATTTTTGTCTCTCATAATGTCGTCTCGGTTGACAATTTCTAAAACATCTTCTTTAGCCTCATTAAAGATATCATTCACGTGATCCAAATATTTACAAACGGATTCGATTTTTGCTTTCTTCCATTTACAAACTAAATATCTCTCTGAATTTGCTGGTCTACTGCTATTGGGCTTCAAAATAGATATCCGATCAAAACATTTATACATCAAATATACAAGACCTACACTAAATGGAGTGAACAAATCAAACATCTTGCACAAAAAACTACCATTTTCTCGAAGAATTTTTAATACCATTAGGCACTGGCAGAGATATAATTGCTTGGAAAGTATTTCCTGAATATTTTCTTGCCCTTCGACTGAGAATCCGCCATCCGCCATCACAAAATGAACACCAGTTCTACAATGCTTCAAAACGTATCCAGCGAAAGAATCTTGATTGTCTTTAAAGAATATATTTCCATCTTTTCTTATTCCATAAAAGGTATCGAATGATTCTGGCGATCCTGCAAAAAATTTATCGAGCTTAAAGTCATTAGGTCCTCGTAAAGTGAATCCAAATCCTTTTGATTCCCACGATTTTCTGTAAAGTATATATTCTGAGAAACCACCAGGGCCTGCAAAAAATAAAGAAATTTTTAACTTATGCCAATTTTTGATATTTACATATCTTATAGTACAATTACGTATGTTTACAGGGCAATTCTGGCAACTTTAATTTAAAAAGCAGGGTTCAGAATTGTTCATGCATGAGCACTGAAATATCAACATTTATGATATTTCTCATGAGTGAAATTTCAAGAATTTAAAATTATTTTTTCCCGGGACTGTAACGGTTATGCTTTTTATCAAAAAAGTGAACAAATAATCGTTATT